GTCTATATCGCGACTAATAAAAAGTAAATAACGTAACAAATTCCATTCAAGATAAACAACTCTAAATTCAACTCCACTGCCATTGACAGCGCCATCGACTCACGTATCTATGTGCTACACTATTTCACACGAAAATAGGTCGGCTTACTTACCACACCCCTCAATACCGGAACCAGTCGGTGCATCAGAATGAACGCCAGCACTAGTGCCAAGGTTAATGCGAGTATAAGTCAGGGCGAAACCATCAGAAGCACTGACATTACTAATATCTGTAGCTATGACAAAATAAAAAATAAAATACACTTGCTAGCGACAATATGACAACTATTAGTTTGATAGTGACAGTGCAAATGATGAGGCCGAACCAGATAATACGTAGTCATGTTGACAATTATTGATAATATTCTTATCATTCAAGGGGCTTTCGAGATCCCAATCAAATGGATACGTGGAAATTATTTAAAAAATATACTTCTTCAATTGAGCGAATATTTGTACAAGCTACCATCTATTCATGTCTAAGCTCGTTGGCGCCTGGTGAAGAGAATAAGAATGCCTCTTTCATCCGCACAATTACCATTTCAACAGTGTCTCTGATTGCAAAACCATGAGGGTCAACCGGACTTTTTGATGCCCTCAATCCAGTCTGTACAGTAACCAAGCCAACAAGCGATTACTGTTTTCATCGTTGCATGTTTTGCCTCTATCGCTTCACATTTGGAAATCCAATGTTCCTAGCTTATTGGTTGGGATCCAGCAACAATTCCACGTTGGTTCTTTCGAACAGCGTCTATTTACTTTCACTAAACTTAACCGTCCAGGGTAGTTTTGACCAGGCTAATGGGGAAGAAGCATGTAGGAGAGAAAGGAGAGAGCATTTGCTGTCTTGGGCCCAACCTTTCGTGGCACGACTATCTGCAAGATGTCATAAGGCAGGTGGAATTGAGAGATGGGCATGTCGTCTCCTTCTAATCCTTTACTTATAAATATGCAAATGACTGCTTGAACTTTCCACTTCTCCTATAGACACAGAAGTCGAGCGGAAGAAAGACAGAAAGACGGATAGATAGGCAGACAGAGCGAGATAGAGAGG